TTAAATCAATACCAATCTCTAGCGATGCCAATGGAAGTCACTGAAAGTGGTTTGCAATAGGCAAGAGCCAAACTTACACTGAAAAATGTGGGTATTTATATATTGATCAATACCAAAAAAATATCTTTGATAACAGTTATATGATGTGTATGTATGAGGGGAGGAAAACTAAATATTTGAAGCATGATTGATCAAAAAAATACGAGGAAGATATTATTATTTTCATATGATGCCTGAAACTTTGAGGGAAGAGAGCACAACAAAAATAATCCAAAGAAGCATGAAGTACACAAATGTAATCCATGCCCAAATCCTGGGGCCTCCAAGCTCCGCCCCAAGTGTAAGACGCCGTAACACCAAGACTCCAATACAGCCTACAGAGGTACAGAAGAACACAAGCAGAGAGAAGCTGAGTCCCTCTGCATTTTGTATGTGCAATGCTTCTCTATATACAATGAAGTTGTATGCAGTATCTATCAGCCATGGAATTCCAATACCTACATAAATGTTCACTGAATTGCTGCAAAAGATAAACAAAAGACAGAAGTTTAGTAGCGTACAGTGTCGTTAATTGGCCTCAAAAATTGATTGAATCATCCAGGAACATCAATCCAGTGGAGTGAAAAAGAGACGGAAGCAAGCAAAACTTCTGAATGGATATTAGTCTCAATGGAACCTCAGAAGAGATGGAAATGCTCAAGCCTAGAGAACCTCTCACAAATCTGTTTTTCTTTTCAGCCAGAAATTATCTAGATTTTGGGAAATTAAGGTTTTTGCCTGAAAAATGTTCTTTGAAGCAGGTTCAACTATCATTTCAATCTGGACTCACAGTGAGGCAAGGATATAATTGAAATCTCCCTCACAGAAAACTCAGTCACTCAGGCCTTTAGATTATTATGGATCCAATTTAAATAAAGCCAAGCTCTTGCTGAAAATAATATTTAGCATAAGATACAAAGAGAAAGAGCTACACACCTGCAGATGATGTTAGCAATAGCAGAGTCTGCTGTTAGTTGACGTTCAGCAGCAATTTTACTCGCAACTAAGTCTGGCCATGAAGTGCCACTAGCTAGTGCTGTAAATGCTATGACATAAGCATTTATTCCTGAAGGAAAATAGAAGATAAAAAGAGTGAGTTTTACTGGCTAGAATTTAGGCAAAAAGCATATTCATCAACTACAAAGAGAATGGTAGAAGTTTGATTTTCACCAAAGGGGAACCTGTTACACAGCTTATAAGATCTGTCAACTTTGTCACAATGTAAGCTATCCCACTAATGAAAAGCAGAGAGCAAATGAAGGCAATCCAACCATGAGCAATATGATAGGGAGGCACACAAGCAAATAGAAGCTTCCATGGTACAAGGAGCAATTGCCAAAACATACTAGCTAGCCATAGACCTTTATTGTTCAACTTCCTTGATGCTGGGGTTTCCAACTGTTTTAATGAACTAGAAATTATTTCCCAAAATTTATCTCACTACAGAGTATGCATAAACATCAAACTTTCACACATCAATTATATCATAAAGAACTGTTTTATCATAGGGTATGTACCATGAGTGCATCCACAAATTGCTCTTTCCATAGTTGAAATACATGAGGGTTCTTTATTTTGTGTGAGGTCTCAGCTGCATCTTCACTTCCAGGTACCTCTTGATATGCTGGACCAGCAAATTTGAATTAGGAGATTAGATTAATTCGGATTTAGTTATAAGATACCAGATATATGTAAAATCTCTCATGTTAGAATGCATGACAGTCACTATGTTATGTATACAATCTGACATGTAACTCTCAAATAATAATTTGATACTTATTGTACAAATCTAACTATGCCTTTCTTTATAAGTTAGAACAATTTTTGACTGTCAAGAATTAAAATTTAAAAAGGTTGAACCAAGGGGTGAGGCTCCAGATTGAATTTTATTTACAAAAACTCCAAACATCAACTCATGTTCAGTTGAAAAGGTGAAAAGATTACAGGTCAACCAAAGATCCTGCAGAAATCCAATTAGGATAGGCACAAAGGAATTAACACTTTGTCAAAGTGGCTCACATAGAATATCAATTATCAAGAGTGCTCTTCTAGACAAAGCATGGGGAAAACTAGCCATTTGAACCCTTCTCCCAGGACTTATGTTATGTACTATTACTCTGTCATTGAATTGTAACTAGAAAAACATAACCTAAATCACAGTTACAGTAACCTATTCTAACAAGTGAACATTCATGGATATATTTTACATACATTTAATATTTAAGGCTTACAAGGCATATGAAGTTGGTACCTTTTCTATCTACTGAATGAATGGAGAAATTATCAACAATGTTCCAATTTTCATCTTCACCAATGGGAATTGTCTCAGAGTGCTCATCATACTCATTTTTATCATGTCTAATAGCCTCTTCTGGCACCCATTCCTTCGGCCTCTCACTTCTTGTTCTTCAAAAACACAACAGGCAACAGAGAAGCATAAGATTAAGCACCAAATCTCAGCTGGTTAACTGAAAAATGAAAATAAAAATGAGAGACATACAAAGGGAGTGATAGGTATGGCCAACGCTTGTCTTGAGCATAAGCATGTATAAGAAGTAATCCAAACTGTAGTACCGTCAATAAGGCCTCCCAAATTGTAACCACATTTGGGGTCCATACCTGAAACAAAAAAAAGAACCAAGCTCCTCAAGATGCCAACATAATCATGAAATAAATAATTAGATTGCCCTTGAAGATAAACTCCAAGAAAAGAGCACCAAAGAAAAATAAACATTACTCCTCCAAATGGGAGAATATACTTGAACTTTTGGTTGGAAGTGAAAGAAATCAGAGGCAAACAAGCAAAAAAAAAAAAAAAAAAAGAAGGTTGGATGAAAGCATTTGTTGTGCAGCATAAAACGTGCCTTCAAAATGGAAACATATGAAGGTTCTCATCTCAAGAGATGATATTTGCTTGAATTACCTCCAAAATTATGTACAGCCAAACATAAGCCCAGAAGGACCAAAAGAGCTCCACTAGCCATACACCAATATCTGATATCTTTTTCAATTCTCCAGCTTTTGGGACTACAACACATACAGCATGGATGGGAAAAAGGTCGAATGCAGCAGAACCAACAAGGGTTCCAGGACCAAGACCTACATGGTACAACGAAATGTAAAGAAGGGAGGACTTCTAATAATTCAATGCGGTGTCAGAGCAAAACAGATAAGGCCATAGATCTAGCAGAGAACAGACGCCACATGCCAGTCATGTTGCCAAGTGGTGCACTCTTGTCATATGTTAGTGTGGTTTTGAAAGCCTTTCTTTCAGCTAAGCCAACAGTGAGGCTTCCTGGCAGCCATGGCTTTTCCTGCCATAATGGTCAGATTTACTACTTGAACAAAGAATTATGCCATATTGTTAAAATATCAACTCAATATACTCACTTGTTAAAGTGCAAAGGCAGTGGGAGTTTTGGGAGTGAAAGTTTTGGAAGGTAGACTTGAAAGCACACACATATGCACATATTTAAATAAAAAAAGGGGAATTGCAGAGGTATTGAGAAGAGGGGGATAGGGTAGGAGAAATTTCAGTTTACTCCACCAATGTTGGACATCCAAAATTGAGATGGCATCATAGACAGGATGACAACAACATTATGAGTAAACACCAGCTAAAATTACTATTATAAACTTAAATTTGAAAACAACAACCTGCAAAGAATCACAATTCTCTCCTGGGAAAAAGAAATAGTAAGACTGTAAGAGCTTCATTTACAACAGAGAACTAGTAATAATAAATAAACTACAGTTAGGCATCAACAATTTCATTCTGCACATGAACTTTGTACTTCGCTAGTATATTGAGCATAAGGCTTTCAATGGACAGATACCAGAACTAAATTTTTAAGTCCTTAGTTGACAGATTCAGTGAAAATGGATCTTATAGAAGAATAATAAAACAATATGGACACCATAAGATTTCAATCATAAATGAGGCATATACGGTCTAGGCAACAACGAATAAATCTGTATGAGATTATTGTAAAGTTAAATGGGTGAAGACAGAGTAGATGAAAGGTAATCTTTTGTGGGAGAAAAGGTAAATGAATGAAAGAGTAGCTAGAAAAATGGAAGCACAGTGCAATTGGTAACAAAACATGACCAGAGTTCACCAAAAGAATAAGAGGAACAAATAATCTCTAACTTTGTGCTCTAAATTTCAAAACAAACAAACAGAGAACAAAGGTCAGCAAGATAAGGTTTCAATTCAAGAATTTAAGCAGAAGGAAGAAAAGAAAGAAAAGAAGAGAAGAGAGGAGGGAATATAGTAAACAAACCTCCAGCATACAAGTCCCCAATGTTTCTAATGGCATCAATAGCAGCTAAGGATATTTGAGGGAAGCTAGTCCCAAAGGCCAGAAGGGTAACATCTGCAATAGTGTAATTCCAAACCTTCTCCTCTCTAATAATTTCAGCTTTTGTCTGAGGATCAATATATACCACCTCCCGTGTGTGCTTCACAACATTCTCCATTGACCGGAAGAAACGGGCTGTTATAGCTGACAGGCCAATGAAACAGTAAGCAAGACCAAGAAAATATAATGCAGCTCGGAATCCATCACTAAGAATCACTTCACCATGAAAAAGGAAGTAACTTTCACATTTTTCACGCCCCAAAACATTGGAAAATCCCATTATGCTCTCCAAAATTTGCTTAAACACCAATGCCATTCTAATCAGACTCACTTTGCTTTTCAAGTATCAGGAATTCTTGCTGACCTGACAAAATCATAATCAAAGTTAGGAAGGTAATTAAAGTGATGGAGTTGTCACATCACAAAAGCTTAAAATTCAGGAAGGTTCAACCTTTAGTTCCAAAACAAAATGAACTATGAGTTCCAACATCATTTTGACAATCCCTTACATCCTTTAATGCATGGTATCCATTTCTCGCACACACCATAGCAATACTGAATTTTCAATATAAACTTTTCCAAAATTTTTTTGGAAGTTGACAATATTTTGAAGAACTTTCCACATAACAGTTTTTTGGTGTGGAAAATGGATTCATAAAGATACACAACTATTATTTAGAACGTTCAACATAAACCATTGCGACCTTGGTCGACTTATTAGCATTCCATGTCCACCATAGCTTCTCCACATACAGAGACAAATCTTAATTCAAACAATGAACTCAAGAAGCAAGATCTTAATTAAGCTCAGAACTGGAGAGTTAACTGAATCCAACCATATAAATATATATGATCATCAACACAAATTCAAACTGATAGCAAAATCTGAAGCGAAAAATTGACAAACGTCAAAAAGGAAGAAACGAAAGCACAAACAGACACAGGCACTACTTATGTCAAGCTCAAGAAACACCGAACTAAACAGCAAAAGAATAAATCAACAAATTAACGAGATTCACGGAGGCAGAGCTCACCGTTAGAGCTGAGTAGGATGGCCGGTTTCCGGCAACAATGCTGCGCGACCTACGTCCAACTCCAACAAGGTAGAAACGCATAAACAAAAAGGTAAAGCAAGACGCGACGAACTCACGAGACACAAGCGTGCAGGGATACAAGAACTCTCTCTTACAAGAAAAACCTTGAATACAAAACTCGGAAATGCAACATTTACTGGATTCCGATACTCTTTCAGAAAACGACGGCAGTGATTCGTTGGAGCCCCGCCGCTCCGACCGATTAGGACTTCATCGGAGAAGCAACCTGCGCCTGTAATTGTTTGTCAGATCTGGCAATGCAGATTGCAAAGGCAGAAAGTGACGGTGATTTTTTTCGTTTCTTGTGTTTCTAATAAATTGATTTTCACGAAGGAAAAAAACAATTAATAAATCAAATCATTAGCAATCTCGCACGTTGTCTTTAGTAATTAGGTTAGTCCGAGTCATCTCTTATTATTATTATTTTTTTTATGCCCAACAAAATGGAGGACTGAAAATATCTCAAATCTATCGTGA